TAAGAAGGCATTTGTAGAAAACAAGTACGCTTTTTGATTTAGGCGTGATTTGAGCTTCATAATGATCACTAGAAATCTAGTGAAAGTCTCCATTCGATGAAAAAGATATCACAAGAATTCTTTCTGTGAATGGAGACGTACCAATTTTTCTTGACTAACACTCATAAAGCATAATCTACTTGAGAGAAAAAACAAAAAGATAGAGACATTCTCACGTGAAATGTTAGGGTTGCGCCGATTCTATGTCAAATCTCAACCGATTACCTGATTCATGGAGAGATGAATGGCATTATTAGTCACACCAGACGCATCCAGCGATCTTGTCCACTGAAGAATCTCCAATTGGTTAGATCAATTTGCTCATCGCTTGAAAGTGCATAGATAATAAAAGCAGGCCAAACGCAATATTGAGCTTCTTTGAGACACAAGTGGATGTAGAGAAAGAGCTTCTACAACGTGATCTAACAAACATCCTCATAAGTGCATGACTGTGAGAGCTAATATTTGAAAGAATTTTGTTCAATGAGTGATTCTGACAAAGCCTGCAATCAAGTGAATGGAAAGTAGATGGAAGATGGTTAGAAACCGTTTTCAAACAAATAAGCCACCGTTCTCGTTGGCTTCTGTAAAGATTGGTGAGTTCTATGTGACAGCGAAATCGCTTGTAATTTCAAACACGTAGTATCTCAGCGTTCTCGCAGCAACCAATAATTCCACTTCTTAGTCGGAATGAACGGTGGGTATATGATACTCGCGAGGCGCAATGTGAAATTTGCGGAGTTCACACTGGTCGACCAAAATTTTCGTGTAGCGTTTCTCGTTTTATTGTGACTTTCGTTTTCTAAATCAAAATTTTTCTGCATTTTGAGAAAAATCGCCGCTTCCTCTTATGAATGTTCTTTGTCATCCATAAACATTTCCATATATCTGGTGCATAGAGAACCCGTGTGATTGAACAATTCTTCAGACAACATTTGCATGCGAGAAAAAAAAAATCACGAGATGCAACGAAACAAACTTCATCAGGGTATTGCAACATAAAAGACACTATTTTGAAGAGATTAACAAATTCTGTCAATTTGCGACAAAACTGCATGTCCACTTTGGAAGTGGAAACAAAACAAATAAGAAGAAACGCTAAAGTAGGAAAATTATAGAAGCAAGCAACAAAAGGAATCGTTTTGGAAATAAATAAGGACTACTTGAAAACAAATAAACGTTCCAAAGACACGTCGTGGACATTATCGGAACAACGATTTTTGACTTTATCATGGCGCTCATAGTTGGTCATCTCCACGAAGGAGATCTAAGCTGTGTATTGTTAAGAACATTGCACTGCCTAAAAATAATAGCAAAAGTGGATGATTGATGATATTTTACAATATAATTTTAGTTCTCACATCACCGAAGAGAGGAGATGTAGAGTGTTCCGGCATGGAAGGAGCACCATGTGGAAGGAGACTATTTCGAGTATTAATTTACTTTTTGTTTAAGGTTAACTAATGTACAAATAAATTTTTTTGTGCGTTTTGGAAACGCAACACAACTTTTTCTACAACCTATTAGCAGCCTATTAACTTTCGTTTTGCGTGTTTTTCAAACATCGATCGAAGGAGGCAGGTAGCAATGTTAAGTCATGAGATTTTTACATTCCGAATCGATCGTTATTGAAAGCTGTGATTGGCAGAATGCGAGACGAAAGAAACGAAAAAAAAACACAGCGAGATTATCAAGAAAGAAGACAAACTTGTATTTGTCGGAGGCAAAGAAGCATTCGGAGAATGGCTTGATTGCGGTGAGGTCAGTTTCTGTTTTATATTGAGCCAAGGAAGTTCAGCTGCAATTGTTATTGACTCTATTATTGTGTCATGGACTAGTCTGGAGATGGCATGGGAATGGGTGATACCCCTATCGTTGCAAGAGCATAAGCACGACGTCAATTCACGCAAAGAACAGCGTTAAATGAGATTCAGAACAGCCCCACGCTTTTGCGGTGTCAAGGTCCTCAACATTTCAAGATCAGCCATCTAATGCACGTTTGTCCTTAGTGTTGGAGAAATAGTGATAATATAGCATTTTAGTGATTGTTTGCTGACAGATCGATACAACTATGTCGAAGAAAGAGTGATGGAAGAACAGGAGCAATGCGGCGGTTAGCACGCGCCCCGGATAGTTGGGGTGCGGGTTGGAATCCTGCCAGACGATCAGTGCACATTGTTCAACATCACTGGTTTACTTGTAACATTAAACTACCGTTGAAGCTTTTGAATAAAGCAGATTCATAGAGCGCTTTATATTTCGACATTGGTAATTATTCCTAGGATGACTAAGTGCGTGTTTATTAGCAAGAGACTAACGTGAATACGAAGCGTAGAAATATTCTCCACACACGTTTTATTCTGTTCACATATTTATGCACAAATATGTCTTTATATACTGTTACGAACTATGCCACAAGTATTGCGCTCATTGATTGATATATATTATCACCCTTATAATTATTCATCTAATTCTATTATTCTTATTGTAATTCTTCTAATTATCAAAACTACACCAATTACTTTCCCCATTGAACTATTAATGTAATTTATAGCTGTAATACCGTCCTGTGTTACTTCAGTTTGCATATTTTTCTTTTACTGTCAAGAAATTGAGAATTTGGTGAGATAAAGACTCATCCGTTGAACACTCTTGTTGACGTACAATGGGGTCTGCGTATATCGCTGACGGAGAATTGTGAAGCATCGGTTGTAAAGTGCTGATTGAGTTGACGTCAGTTTGATGCCCAACTTTGATCATTATAGGCGAACATTGTTCATGTTACCTGAACTCAATATGCCACTCGGTAACGACAAAATTTGTCACTTATTCATATGAGAAATATATGCCAATGCAAGTAGCATAAGGAAACGAAAAAAAAACAGTATTGTTTACAACCTCGTCCGTGGAATGGCATCTACAATTTTGATTAGAAACGAATCGGTGCTTCTATTTAGTTGGTTAGACAATTTGGAAAATCAAAATATGAAGATATTCTAGAAAATTATATAATTTTCCAGCCACATGGCATTACGTGTAAAAAACCCAGTATCATGAGGTAACTCAAAAGAATAGAATTTCTCTATAGTACGCACCAGAATCACTCAAATAACATAAATGAAATACGTTAATTAGTTTCCAGTATCCTGATTACAAGTATTTTCAACGATACAGTAACCGAGAGTGGCAATCCGAGTCATACTATGACATATACATACTGCTACCCGGATTTTCGGCAAAAAAGGTTGATCTTCTTCAAAGTTTCGTAGATTGGGAATTGAATCTGGGCTGGAAGTCACACCTGTACGTTCAGCAATACTGGCCGAAAGCGATAAAGCATTTGGAACCTGAGGATAAGTGACAGTGGCAGTTGATGAAAATAGCGACAGCAATGGGTTGCCAGTACGGCGGTTCGATTTTTCGGCTACAAATGTCAAAAAGCACTTAGAGGAGCGCAGCCATGCGTTTGGTGACTTTGTAATAGTTCATAGATTGCCTCTAATAATGATGATCAGCTTCTTACGAAAGTAGTCGAAACAGGAAAAGGAAACTATGACAAACCCTGAAGACTACGTTTTCTCTCCAAAAATTGTCGATGCAACCTGGATGATAATCTCGCCAAGCCATTCCTCCATCAATGATTTCATCAGACTTCTAGACACTTTATTTTATGTCTTCACAATGCTTTTTTTTCTACTTTGCGGATCTCAGTACTTCTAGTATCATATCGTTTATTATTACGTCTTCTTTTTGATCGTCGTAGAAGACTGGTTGAGCGAGTCTCCTCGCACCTCGAAGATAGCCTGGCTGTGGCGATCCTACAGGCGTTCGCTGTTGATTGCCGGAGAGAGTTGAAGGGTTGGGTTTGGCCCCACGCGCGCCGCAGCGAACATCACAACCACTCGGCCACAACTCCTGATTCTACACGGGAATCAAGAATCATCATGTTTGTATGTCCGCCCACTCTCATTCCACGAATGGCGGCTTCCCTCTGGATACGCTTCAGAAGGACGTCACTTGGTCGCTTATAATGGTTTCCAAAACGTTTCATTGAAAATTCTTCGACGGTGAACTGGACATCATGTTTTGGTGCATAATAACACCAGCAGATACTGCGAAACTGATATATGCCAAAAGTTAAGGAAGAGCGAAAAAGTGCGAAGAGTGTTTAAGAAAAAAAGTAATGTTGTTATTTTTCGCCTTTCACAGTGCTCACAAATTGTGGCAAAACAACTTTGTCGTCGACGTTTGACAGATAGGCTGCTTGTAGGATGAGTCGAACGTGAGCATTTTTCACACTCAAATCGTAAACTTAAATAGATTATCCATGCTTTTGATTATACGAAACAACTTTTAGGATCATCGATCATCGCGTACAGGAGTTTTCTTTATGATATATTCTTCTAATTGAAATGAAGAAAAAAAGGTAAATGTCACTGTGGCACTTTAAAGGCACCTGAATTTTATGCTAGGTACGAATTTTACCTCGCATGAGAAGTTTCATTGATCTCATAGGCTCCAAATAAGCTCTTGTCATGTGATAAGAAGTTGAACGACCGAAGTCCATACCTCTTGTCCATTACTTCAGAATAGTTGCCATTGCCTAGTACATATATCTGTATTTTTTTACATATACCTAAAATAAGTGAGTAGTGAGCAAAAGCACTGCCTTAGGCGGGAATCGAATCCACGTTTCATCCTATCAGGGGACGCGTGCTCTACAACTACACCACGATGCGCATTTGCGCCACCACTCTTTCCTCAACATCTCTGTTAGCTATCAGCCACCAACTTTCAGCAGGAATAATGCAGTTAATACTAGAGTTTCGAGCATTAGTTAGTGCAATGGCTGTCAGCTCAATTGGTTATCAAGCGAAATCGTACACCCGAACAAACCTGTTAAAGGTTGGTGGCTGAGAGTTAACACACAGATGTTGAAGAATGAGTGAATACGCAAATGCGCCTCGGTGGTGTAGTGGTAGACACGCGTCCCCTGATGGGAAGAAACGCAGGTTCGGCTCCCGCTTGAGGCCGCGTTTTTGCTCAACACTCAATTTTTTTAGGTATATGCAAAAAATACAGATATAGGTACTAGGCAATGGCAGCTATTCTGGAGTTATCGACAAGAGGTATGGCCTTTGGTCGTTTAA